TAACTTTGATGATCTAAAATCGTTTTTAGGTTTGGAACTTGTGGAAAGAAGGTAAAGTCTTGGAAATCGTCGATCCATCTCTGGGTGAATTGTACCCTGTCAATGAAGTTGTGAGATGCATCCAAATTGCACTGTTATGTGTGCAAGAGTATGCCACTGACCGGCCAACCATGTCGGCAGTTGTTTTCATGTTAGGGAATTATGATGCAGCAGTTCCTTCACCAAGACAGCCTGCATTTTTGTTACAGAGAACTTATGATGCTGGAGACCCATCAACCAGTACAGAAGGAGCTAAGTCTATGAATGATGTTACATGTACTAGTGTACAAGCTCGCTAAAAGGCCTAGGCCACAAAGTATTGGATGTTAAGCTACTGCAACTATAGCAGCCTGCGTCAAAAAATTTCACTTGAGGCTTTTCGGTTGCTGCATTCATGCACAAGAGAATATGTTTGCTTGACGAACAAAAGCTTGGACTTTTATTTTATTTGGTATACCTTTCAATTCACAAGTAGCCGTTACCATAATTTGATAAACCATGCTTAATTTCCCAACTTTGCATAATCTCCCCTTTTTTTAATAAATAAAATGTGTGTATGTATAGTATAGAGGTTTATGCAAATTAGAAGTAAGTCAATTACAATATGAACCTTGATGTGCAGCGTTACATTTGGACTGAAAAATTCTTTTTTGGATTACTTTTTTGTCTTTTTTGGATTGATGATGCTGATGGATCAAATATTATTGCAAGGACTGAGAAATGGCCAATTTCTAAATTAGGTTAAGTGGGGCCTAGCTTACTTTCGTCTTCAAGAAAATTCTCTCTTAGTCCGAATCCATAATATCAGAGCCCATCAAGCTTGGGCCGCAGCCCAATTTCATCTTGTAAGAAAATTCTACGTGGTGACCTGTCTTAGCCGTAAGGATGAGGATAACACGTGTCCAAGTTTCTACTAGTTTGACGCCGAACACCGACCCAAGTCCAAGTGTCGCGGACTCGCGCGGGAGATGGTGCCCGACTTGAAACAGAGTGACCATCTGTAAACAAGCCCCAAAAATCCTCATTCTACAACCCCACGTGTAAAGTTCAAAGACCCTGCGGTCAAATTCTCACTCATCCCATTCCGTACGATCACATATATATACATATATTTGTTACATATTTTGTTTCATTTGGGCACAACCTGTACACGTAAAACACACTATGAAAAATAATCTCTGAAATTTGCGATCAAACATGAGCCAGGAACAGCCACGGAGACGACCTGACCAGTCCTCAGGTCTGGAACCCCTCAAGTACGGCGACGTTTTCAATGTTTCAGGGGAGTTGGCATCCCGTCCCGTTGCACCCCGCGACGCTGCCACAGCCCAGGCCGCTGAAAACCTAGTTCTCGGAGAGACTCAGAGGGGCGGCCCGGCTGCAGTCATGCACTCGGCAGCCACTTACAACGAGCGCGCTCGGCTCGTTGGCCACAAAGATGCTACAGAAGTAGCCAGAGAAGAAGGAGTGTCGGTTACAGAAGGAATTAATCCCGATGGCAACCGCGTTGTCACTGAAAAAGTTGGTGGACAGGTACAAAATTTCATATATATATATATATATAGAAGTTGAACATTTATAATTATGTGTTCCTGTGTATGTTGGTCTAGCTCAATTTGTCACATCAATTTATTGAAATTTTTTTATGTCTAGGTTGTGGCCCAATATGTGGAACCGCCTTTGCCGATGGGCTCGCCAGGTGGAGCGCTGGACCGTGATGCAATTACAATTGGTGAAGCTCTAGAGGCCACTGCTCTGTCAGCAGGCGACAAACCCATTGACAAAAGCGACGCCGCTGCAATACAAGCCGCCGAGATGAAAGCCACTGGGAGAACCGAAATAGCGCCCGGGGGTGTTGCCGCCATGGCTGAGTACGCAGCTTCTGTTAACCCGCGCGACGTCAACAAGACAAAACTAGGCGATGTGCTAGAGGTACGTAATTTAAAAGATTAATTAATCATTATGTTTATAGGGATTTGTTAATTTAATTGTTTCTCGAAAATAATGAAGGATGCGACTCAGAAGCTGCCAGCTGACAAAGTTGTGACAAGGGAGGATGCAAAGGCGGTGATAGGGGCAGAGATAAGGAACAGTCCGACTATGAGCACCACTCGTGGAGGCGTGGCTGAATCGCTGGCTGCAGCCTCGAGGCTTAACCAGAACACTGGAAAATAAACCTACAAGTCTAGATCTATATCATGTATATGTATAGATATATATGTACGCACGCATGCATGGTTAATTTTGGGGTTGTAATATGTAGACTTATATTTTGCGTTTAAAGGAGTTGTCTACGCAATCATGTAACTCAAGTGTTTGGTTTAAAGTATAAACATGTTTCCATATGTAGTTTGGGTTCGCAAATGTTGTCGCTATAACCCCACATTACAATCTTTTTGTAGTTCACGGGATAATAGTCATCAGACCAATTGAAAAATTATTATTGGGAGTTAAGATTGAACTAGTCAACACACCGCTTTAACAGAGACTCAATTGTAGAAACTCCTCGACAATTATGGTGAAAATCATGTTAATTGGGTTTAACAAGAAGGGATAGGCCCAACAGAAACCTCAGGACAAAAGGGCTTACTCTACCCCCTTAATTAACCTGATAAATAAAAAGAAAAAGAAGAAGCAGCAATACTGGTAATGGACTGGGGTGTCGATCCAGTATAGATTTTCCCCCTCCTTTCAAGTGTATCCGGTTTGATTCACAAAAGAAACAATCTTAAAGCAACTCAATATTATACACCCCCATCTCCTTAGAAAAAGAAAAAAACAAGAGGTGTAGTTGCACTTCAGTGAAAGCACAAAATCCTGTACAAAGGGAACATAAGTTTTACAAGATTTCTTGAAAATCAGAGTTAACATGTCTAAATTATGTATCTTAGTGCCAGAAGACTGATCCGTACAGTTGGGTTGTGGCAGGAATCAATCAAGATATGAATCTTTTAATATAGAGTAACCAAATAATTAATTTAGGAGAATCATAAGTACTTTCGATTTGGGGGAAGTTTCTTGCTATCTGATTCATACATATGGCTTGGTTGGCTGTCAGTTTATATATGTCTGCATTTTCCAGCAAAAGAACCAATGAAATTAACAGCTAGGAGGATCTAAGATCTCATATGCTGTAGATTGAAGAACCTCTCCTCTGACTCTGAGTTGCGTTGCATGGCTTGTTATCTTCTTGTGCTTCCCTCCCTCCATACCCCACACGACCGACAAGTCAGGGGAAGGCTTCCTCTATAAATAATTGATGGGCTCGTGGCCATGATAGGCTTTACTTGATTTATTTATTTATTCGATCTCTGGTTTCCTTGCAAGTCCATTAACAAATGATAACCCAATGACCAAAAGATGAGAAAAAACACCTGTTTTTTTTCAACCTTTCAAGTTTCAAGGAAACAGGGGTTCTGTTGTAGCAACTAGCTACCTACTCTCTCTCTCTCTCTCTCTCTCATCAAAATCTTGAAATCAGCTGTTCTTTGGTTGCAGTGGTCGATGCCGACGTACACATTAACTCAATCATCCCAACACGAAACTCAAAAAATTTGACAGAAAGAAATATGTGTGCATTTGATGGAAATGAAATATTATAATAAGAAAATGAACACTTGAGAGAGATTGATTAACCAACAATGTTGCCAAAAGTCTCCAAAGCTTTTTCAGTTTTTTCAGGTGATGTTGATCTTTCAATACACTGGTTTTGTTTTTCTCTCAGCCTACTTCTTTTTAGAAAAACTTTTGTGTTTTGTCTTCGTCATCATGCATGGATGTTAAAATGAATTTTAATAGTTAGCCATGGAACTAGCTTAGCTCCTAGCTTCTTCTGCCAATGAAGAAGGAAATAAATAGTTGTTGATGGATTTGACATGTGGTAGATAGAGTTAGGGTGCTTTTTCTTGTTTCCAAAATGGAGTGGATGTGTATATGAATATGATGGGTAGGGTACCCAAAAAATGGTGGATTAATTGGGTTTTGGTTTGGGACACGTCACACGTTCCATGAATATGAATGAATTGAAGCAAAAAATGTTAGTTGGCTTGACTCTGTGTCTGTGGCCAGGCCAAGGGGTCACCACCCCAGCACTACCCCCATGTGCATGTTCTGTCCAATCTTGTGATTTGGTTGGAACCTACATGTACCTTCGTACCCACCCATTTTCCCTCCTTCAAAACCTCACGTTCACTAACTATTTTATTCACAGTTGAATTCACAAGTTTCAAGTTTGAGTATGAGCAAATTTACCTCATGAAAATTGGATGGATATTCAGTTCAGAATATAACTTTTTCAAAAACATAAGCGGAGCGGTTTCTCACACGCTCCACTAAGATTCTATATATATGAGGATTCCAACATAATAAGATCACTCATCTACCAAGCCAATACCATTTTTCAATGAATTGGTCCGGAATATACATATAATAAAAGCATATGTATAAAATTATTACATAATTGTGGACCAAATTCGTGAGAGATCCTAATTGGAATATCTATAAAGCGATACGATAATCTAAACCATTTGATCCGTCACTGTCTTCTTTAAATTTCAATGGTGACAGTCTAGATAATTGTCATTGCATACAGAAAAAGGAAAAGTAACAAAAATCTGTATGTGTTTACATGTATGTTATATTTTACTGTTATCTTTGAGTTATCTTCAACTTGAAACAGATAATTTTTCCCATCCCATGATGTGAAAGCTCACCTGCGTTTATTTATGCACCTTCCTTCAATTTAATCAAAACTATGAGAAATTGTGTTACTGTAACACCTTTAGGTGACGTTATTATCATCAACATTAGCATGAGTAAATATTTACTAATACTATACTATCAGAAATGATTTCCAAGTACAAGTGATGACTCAAATTTCTCAGAAACTACGAGTTTGCTACTTCACCAACTATATATATCTCTACATGTGACTAAACACACTGCTCACACAGACGATCTCTCTCTCTCTCTCTCTCTCTCTCTCCTTCCTTCTAATCTCCCACTTTTTCTACCACCAACAACGGAAATGCCAAACACACTAGGAAGAAACCTAAATCTCTGCTTCACAAAGATCACACGGCCACTCACTCTCCACTCCCCAGACAACGATCACAGCCGTCCATTACCCACCACCGCCGCCGACGCCGCTACCGCCACCACATCCACGTCATCAACCTCATTGATGATAAAAAACTTTAACTCCCTCTACGACGACCAGTACATGTTTGACTCCACCACCTCCAAATCCCTCAGCTCCTCCTTCGTCTCCTCCTCCGAAAACGAAACCGACGCCCCCGCCCCCGACTTCGCCACCGCTTTCGCCTCCCGCCGCTTCTTCTTCTCCTCCCCAGGCCGCTCCAACTCCATCGTCGACCAATCCGCATCGCCACCGTCGTCCATTGCCGCCTCGTCAGAGTCCCCCGACCACAAGCTCGTCAACCACAGCGTGGCGGTCCCCACTTTTTCGCCGGACCCTTACCGGGACTTTCGGCGGTCCATGCAGGAGATGGTGGAGGCGCGCGAGGGAATGAAAAACGAGGAGGAGGAGGAGGGCGGGAAGAAGAAATCAAACTGGGAATTCTTGCATGAGCTTCTGCTGTGCTATCTTGCGCTCAACCCTAAGAGCACCCACAAGTTCATCATCGGCGCTTTTGCCGATCTTCTCGTCAGCCTCATGCCATCTCCCGGTGGGGGTGACCGCAGAGAATTACCCGAGTTTACAGCTGGCGTCTGTGAGATTTCACGGTGCGTCTGAAATGAAATAAAATAAATATAATATTGTTGGCTTGTATGATATTTTAATTATTAGCAGGAAATGTAATATTTGAATGTATCGGCGGTGATGGGATAGGAGAAGAACCCAAGAAGTAGGTAGTTTTATTTTTGTTGTTGTTTTCAATCACATCAAACAACTCTAACTCAGTCTTTGTCTCCCTCATCTTCTTCTCTTCCATAGCTTGTCCTTGTCCAATATCAGCTTTATACGCTGAAATTTTGACAGTGCTTTTGTTTTTTTCCACCATTAGCATAGATTGCATTGAGAAAAAATGGACTTTTGTGACGGCCCAATTAAATTACTAGCTAACCCTTCTTCAGCCCCAGCTGGCGGAGCCAGAAACTATCATCGCATTACATGGGGTTTTTGTTCATATTAAGTTTTTGGCATGTGGGTTTTGTTCAACTCATAAACCTAATTAGCCTGTTTTTGGTCTGGTTAACTATTGCTATTAGGTGAAGTTGATAATTAATGGAGTTAGCTATTAGGTGAAGTTACTTAACTCAGACGAAGAATCATATGTGACGTGACTATATTACCGTAGTATTATATAATTTTTCATGCTAAGGGGCTTCACTGGTTCTCTTCTCAATCTTTTGAATCCAAAGACACCTCCATGTTCAAGTTCAACCACTCTCCTGACTTTCGGAAATAGATAGTGGTTAATTAGATGATTTTTGGGGTTAAATATTATAATAAACAAAAGAAAGTTTACTTACCAAGTCAGGAAACAAGACAAATCCGTGCTTTTAACAAATTGTGTAGGTTTTGTTAAAAAGAGGAAAAATGTTAACATGGATATAAGCATGCTTAATTACTTTTAAAAAAAAGCATCCACACATACAAATACGTAAACGATTTGTTGATTGGTGGAAGTTTCCCAAGCACAGAGAGAGAGAGAGAGAGAGAGAGGAAAATCGAAGTTTAGTCCCATCACCTAATATCACTGTTATGCTTTGACATGGACTTCACAGTTTCACTTTTCTGCAAGTTTAAGCAGCACATGACTATTTTCTAATAAACCCCTTTACTTCCCAAAATTACAAAATATGTGGGAAAGGAAACCAATCCAATAGTCTTGTAGGAATTGACAATTGGTTCACGCAAACTAAAGTAGGTGCCTACTTCTTGAAAATCTTTCACATCTTTGTTTCATTGTCATTCTCTTCATCTCTCTTCTCATTTTACTCATTAGAGGACGGGAAAGATAGAGAGATAGAGCAATGAAACGGGCAAATCCTGTGCGCCCGCCGTTTTCATGATTAATTAGAAACTACTTGTTTAAATAAGAGTATTATAAAACTTCAAGTACGTATAAAACGCAGTGTAATTGACAGTAAACGATGCTGATTTAACGGGAAATAAATTAAATTAAATGATGCACCTCATACAAATTATATGAATAAGGTAGGGTACAGTGTCTGCAGACTCAATGGTGGTGGGGGTCTGCTTGATAATTGGGAAAGTCTTTGCACTCGGACAAAATGCGCAGAAGGGAATCTTGTTTTTGTCTCTCTTTTATTTATTTATTTATTTTATCTCAATGCTTCTGCCTTCTGCGCATATATAATTTGTTTATTTTTCAACTTGAAGCTAGGACAGATTGGAAACCCATCACCCCAGTTATACGTTGTACACGTAAACATGTGCTCGTATGGTTTTTGCACAGTTGAACTCTCATTACCACCCCAATTATCGAAAATAATGCAGCTAGCTGCATGCGCCATCCATGGAACCTTCATTCACATGTTAGTACTTTGAGCTGTGCATGGTCAGTTATCCAAATGCACGCGTAGGTTATTTTTGATTGTTGATGGTCAATTATTACTGTACGAATGCTATTATAAATAGGAAGGAAATCAATCAGGGGTAATAGAAAATACAGTGTATGTACCTTAATTACGTTCGAACGTCCACATATGAGAAAATCTATATATATATATATATATATATATATATGATGGGTTGATCACCAATCCAATCCACGCGAGGGTAATTTATAAATAAACTCAATTCTAGACATGTATTTATAAAAAAACCCAAACACTATTTAAACATAGAAACACACCCAAAATCAACAATTGAATATTTTTTGGGTGTGTTTATAAATGGGTTTTGAGTGTGTATAATGATGGATTTTGGGTGTGTTTATAAATGGGTTTTGAGTGTGTATAATGATGGATTTTGGGTGTGTTTATAAAGTGTTTTGGGGGTTGGATTTTTTTATAATTTCAGCCCCCATTTTTGTTGTTTTAGTGTAACTCCCCAATTTTTAACCGTTGATGTATGTGAAACCCATGCCTCATAATAATTTTATCACTGAGTTAGTATATGAGCTCTTGAAGCAAAGCCGTTACTAGGCCCACCGTTGTCCGTTTTTGGCTCAATGTGGCATCAGGGTAGACCAACGATTAAACCCAGAATGGCCCAGAAGCTTTACAATGCAGGGCCCAGCATAGACCAAGCCCAGGGTAGGACAAACCCTACTTGTTTACACAGAAGCTACAAACACTCATCCAGCCAAAACTTTCTAGTCTCTCAACTTAGAATTTTTTTGTCGAAAAACATGAACTAGAAAGTACGAGAGGAAGGATTTCAGACATTAAAGACACTGGGTAAAATTGCATGGCAGATAGTAGAAGATGTGCCTAAGATTACTCCAATTTCATTTGGATCCTTTGGTTGCACTAGCAATAAATTAGGTGACACCAAAACAAAGGGCTTCAGAATTCTGGAACACATTCACTTTGGAAATTACAATTAAAGAAACTATGCCTCAGTTAAAATAACAAATACGTCCAAGAAATAATCCAAAACAGGTATTTTCAGAATTCAAAAACATTCTCAGATACACTAAAGACGCAAAATTTATCAAGCAAAAATGAAAACATCAGCAAGGAGCTTAAGAAATAGAAATTGCAAAAGCAGACTATCGCTTCTTGGAGACACCAACAGTCTTTCCCCTGCGTCCGGTAGTCTTGGTGTGCTGCCCACGTACCCGGAGACCCCAGTAGTGACGGAGACCACGGTGGTTCCTGTCAGAGCACACACAATTTATCAACTCAATACCAAATGAAATCTGTTAAAGCAAGCCAACAGCATTACAAGATACAAGAAACCCAATCAAATTCACTTGCAAATTTCATGTTCAGAAGTCCTTATCAAATGCAAGACACAAATGACACATATTTCACCCATTAAGCTTAATTGATGGTCAACAACAAACCTGATCTTCTTCAGGCGTTCGAGGTCATCCCTCAGCTTCATGTCCAATGCATTGGAAACAACTTGAGAATACCTCCCATCCTTGTAATCCTTCTTCCTGTTCAAAAACCAGTCTGGAATTTTGAACTGGCGAGGATTCGCCACAATGGTCATGAGGTTATCAAGCTCCGCAGCAGAGAGTTCTCCAGCTCTATCATCCGCATAAAACCCACAATATACAAGTCAAATGAAGCTGAATGTAGCAATATTAAAAATAAACTAGCTTCTTTGTATGCACTACATTTGCAAGCAGATGGCACAATCTATACTGTGCATTCTAAAGCCATAATTTTAAGAGAAGAAAATCAGCAATCATATTGGAATCTAAAGCACCCAAATATAAATATGGAAATATGATCCAAGATTCTCTATCAGAAGCATACGCATTTTCTTATCAAAATAGTTGACTTCAACTCATATCACCAAGTAGAAGACCAATATTTTCAATCAAAATAAAGTAGTTGTTCTTCAATTTAGGATGAGCAAAGCTAAGCTATTTTTATATCCCATACAAAATCGGATAAAATGATGGAGGGGGTGAAGAGAAAGGTACCTCTTGTTCATGTCGACATCGGCCTTCTTGCAGACAATGTTGGCGAAACGACGACCGATACCTTTGATGGAGGTTAGGGCAAACATGATCTTCTTCTTGCCGTCAACATTGGTGTTGAGCACACGCAGAATGTGCTGAAATTCTTCGTTCGCTACCAGAGACTACACATTCCAAATCCCCGCCACAGAAAATTAAAATATTAGTCAACATTTAAGATATTAGGATCCAGAGACAGATATAGAGAGAGAGGGAGAGAAAGATAACCATGGCTAGGGGTTTAGATCTTGAAGCTTTTTGTGCAGCTCTTCGCCTGTGTGAGCGTGAAGACAGAAGCCTAGCAGCGTTGCGAACCCTAATTTTAGGCGCCGGGTACTTGATGAATGATTTATATAGTCCAAACAAAAATGGGTACCTATCTTTTGGGCTTAGGGCCCAGCCCAATAAAATATTAGCCCATGATAAATTCGTTATTTTTCTTTTCTTTCCAAGCCAAATTAATCATATGTTTTTTTCTTCAGTGTTTTTTTTAATAATAATAAATTATTTTTTTTAAGTTTTCCAACTACAACAGATAGAGAAGAAAAAGAGAACAGAAAAGAGAAAGTGGGAAAAAAAAATTGCATAGAATAGTTTACACTATAAAACTAAAATTAACTTTAAATGGTTTTCTTTCAAGTCTACATTTTTTATTATACAAGCGGTATTAGGAGAGGGGGGTTTTCAACTTTAATCTATGTATTCACCTTCCTTTCTTCTCTCCTCAATTTTCTCAAGTCCTATCCTATCCCCCTCTCTTTAATTTCTCAAAAAGAAGACAAAAACATAATCAAACATGAACTCGGGACAAGTTTCGATCATGAACTTGTTACCAGCTTAATGCTATCAGAGAAGGAAAAAGAAAGCATAGCAAACGATCAATGAGCACCAAAATGGAACGCTGTTTTCATGGTTAAGCAATGGATCTTTCATATACAACGAGCACCAGAGGGGCAAAAAATATACAACCCTCCAAGGCAGCATCTAAATCTTCCATTGTGCTAAGCTATAAAATGCTACAGCTTGGTGATCTTCCTAACTGTACTTGAAAGAAGGAAAAAACAAAGGTTTACATATTTACTCCCAACAATGGAACAAGCTTGGCTCCTCGACCAGCTGCTTCAAGCTCTACCCCCTAACTAAAAATCATGGAACCAAAAACTGTATTTGCTTTCTATAAGATGAGAAAATCGGTTTATCAACCCTTGCCAAAATACTACTACAAGTAGTACTCTTCTGTCGTAGATTGCTACCAAAAGCCTCCTGCTTACACTACTTACTGTCAATGTACATCAAAATAAGA